ATATTCAACAGAATTTCCAACATAAAAATAAATAATAATTTTAAATTTTTTTCTTCTAGTTCTTGTTCTTGTTTATTAATTAATTGATTACCAAATATGTAGAAAGATTAGCTTTATGTAAACACTATACATTTTAGATTCTAAGTAGAACAAGGAATGTATTGGTTTTACAATGTCTGTTTTTTTTTTTATGAGAACATTTTTTCTACCGAAAAGCATACACCAAATATAAAGTATAGCACCTTTTCTGAAAGGAAATGTTCTCCGGGTGGTACTTTAGAGATGTCGTTTTTTGAAATTCTCATTGATATTCGAGATCCGTCTTTTTTTTTTTTATACATCTACTAATCATATTGATACCATTCGTTATTTTTTTGGAAAATTCCGTCATTAAAATAAAGTGAAAATTATGTACGTATACATTCCTCATTTCATAAAAATAAAAGAAACTATAAACACATTATTCTAAAAATGATTAAATCCAAATACTGAAATAATTGTTTATACAACGATATTAAATATCATAAAATAATAATTGTCAATTATTTGGGTGTATTAAGCCTCTATAATAGGACTATCCAATCTCACAGCCAACAATCCAGGTATTCATTGCCAAAATCTTCAAATTTGACCTACCCTCTAAAGGGTAACCTATCCAAGTCCATTTTCATCATAAGTACATCTTCCCGTCACTTATTTTCTGCCATCCTAAAGGTTTTATCTCTATCAAATTTTGTTCTACCCATCTTCAGCATAATTGTGACTTTCGGCTTATCCATACATGACCAACGCATCGCAGTCTTACTTTTTTTGATGATTTCTAAAATATTCTTCTCCCTGAATATTATCTGTAGCTCTATCTTCTTTATTCATTGTATCTCTCCAGTTTTGAATCCTTAACTGATCCAAAGAGCTTCCGCAATATTCTTTTTCATTCAAGTACCAAAACATGTATTTTCCTCAATGACCAAGTTTCAAAACCTAAAACTTACTGCCACTACCGTAGTCGGAAATTATATACTATTACTAATACTTGTACTACTGCTACTGTTACTAATCTGACAACTCCCCTTCCCAAACCGTCGTTATAATATTATATTTAGGTGTATTTATAGATACATCTCAACCCTTTTTCGATACAAGTTGACGGTGTTTAAATATTTATGTACTGCAAAAGCGGCGGTGAAGGACGTTATGCTAATGGTTATAGGGACACGTTCTACAAATATGCACGACATACCAGCAAAATAACGTCATGGGACAAACTAGGTAAATTAAAAATAAAAAAAGTAAAAACGGGATAAACATTCAAGTAGCAACTTCAGCGCAACGATGACGAAGACACGCTCTCTTCTATTTCCATATTTATTATTTATATACAAAGTACACTGGTCTACTAGTGCACAGGCATAGAAGTGTATGTGTGTGTGTGTGTGTGTGTGTGTGTGTGTGTGTGTGTGTGTGTGTGTGTGTGTGTGAAAAAGGAAAAAGTATTTTATTCATCGGCTCTGCAAAACGAAATGAGGCAAAGGCGAACGTATTAACGGAATTGGTGCTCGAAAACGTGGCATACAAAATATTTTGTTCGTCTGTTCCGTCTGCCGCAGGTTGGTAAATAGGATGTGTGCGGTAATACAGAGTGCTCAAACGAAAAACGAGTGAAATACTACGAGAGGGTGCAGCTGTGACGACCGGAGGACGGGGCGCAAATACCGCAATCCCCGCCTCAAGAGCATAATATAATAGGTAAGTATTATATCGCGAAACTCCTCCGTTAATAATCCCGTATATTATAATTATTGTTTCAATTGGATTTTACAGGGTGAAAAGCCCCGTGTGTGTTGTATACCTTTATTATTGAGTAGATTACATTTTTCATAATTTATAATACTGTATGATACATATAGGGATGCATAAACACGCATTTAGACATCTCGTTCAAATTGTTTAATGGATGAACATTTTATTAGATCTATATGATCCTTAAATAATAATAAATATGATATTTAGCAATAAATTGTATTTATGTATCCTGTTAAATTGTTATTACCACATCTGTATTATCATCAACTTAATTTATAACTCATTTGTAAAAACTGAATGGCGTTTATACCGAAGGAAAAATCTCGACCATTTTAATTTCAAATATTTATATTTCAATGGCTGTAGAAAATTCGAACATTTTGAAAATTATATTATGTCTTTTCTTTTTTAAATTTAACTTTGTGAAATTAAACTAGCGAATGCATCACAGGCGGTACAATTGTTGTTTATATTTAGTTATTACTAATTGCTTAATAATTGTGTCTCGACCATTTAGATCACATATAATAGTAATATGATAATATATTTATTCGATTATCAAGCACCTAAATGATTTAAAGACTAAAAGTAAGCACTGGTAACTGAATAGTGAATATTAAATAGGAATATCTTGAATAATTCAATAAACATAGTAAAATATAGTTATATAGTGTATTTTTCGTCTCAATTTTACAAATTTGGTAATACATCAATTCCAGTATCAATTAATATGTTACACAATTTTTGAACACTCGCATAAAATTATAAAATTAATATATTTTATAAAACAATGAGATATGTTAATAATATACGAGATAATGTTTATTGTTTATATTATACTATAATTGTCAAAATTGTATGAAATATAGTTTTAACTGAGTTATATAATTATAAAAATATAAAAATAAAAGTAAAACATAATAAATAGGTATTTACTAGAATGTTATTTGGCAATTTGGGAAATTAACAAATTGTCAAAATGTTTAACTTTTTAAAAATGTTCATTAAAATTATTTTTTAATCACAAACGATGGAAACGTCTAAGTTGTTTAAACCTGTAATATTTCAAACGGTTGGATTTTCGTTATGATTTTATAAGAAAATATTTTTTAATATAATATGTTTCTTTGATTAGAGAAAAAAAAAAAAGTATTGAATTGCCTAATTAGTCCACAAATATTTTCCTTATAATTTTAGCACTAAGTAGAATGATTGTATACAAGTGAACATAAATAATTTCAAAATATATGTACTTATTTTTTTAAATTTTTTTTTTAATAAAACAAATTTAATTAAAATAGAGATGATAAAGGTAACTATTTTTAACAATTTAATTATACAGCTATGATATTCTTAAAATATTTTATAAATACTGCAAGCTAATACATGAAAATTTGAAAGAAACCGGATCAATTCTTTGCTATACATATTTAAAGCACCCAAAAATCGCATGCATTCGTAAATAGATTTATAGTATAGATAGTATGGAATGCAAAAAAGCTTGTTTTGAATCTTTCTCACTATATTCATTCGACTTTTCGCTATACTTTAAACAGCGAATGTAAAGTAAATTTAAAAAGAAAAAACAACAAATTTCTATTATTCTGTATAGTAATGAACTAACCAAAACGTTTTTATAGATGAAAAATATTGAGTATTTTTACTATCCCAAGATTAGAAACAATCAAGACACACGCGTACAATAAAAATGAAAAAAATTTACTCAATAGTGTCTGAAAATATCGAGTAAATAAAAATCAAAAGTTGTATTTTATACATTTGTTGAATATATTAATACAATTAATACGTACTTACGTTAAACAAATTGACAAATTATTAAATAACAATAAAACATTAATGAAACAAGTAAGTCATAAATATGTATACTCGATTTTAATATTACTTAAATAATACCAAATAAATAATTAGTTTTTGAGTGGAGGGGTAAAATTGATTTCATAAATAAAATGGAGGAAAATTATTCGTACTATATGAATTTTTAGTATTTTAAACGCGTAAAAAAATGTAGGATCACTAAGTAGATACACTATACGAAATGTGATAATAATATATGAATAAAATACACGTATAAACAGAAAGGATAATAGTAATTTGTAATATTTTTAACGAGTTATTACACGAGATTTTAAAAAGTTATACAACTATATCCCCATCGTTTTTGTAACAGGAATATTTTATTTCCAACAGAGGTCCAATAAAAAAAAACAAAAATTGACGTATCTTTATTTAAATCGAATAATATAAACCAAATTATCTATCAATCAATCATCTTCAAATTCATCAAAAATCCTATACTATAATATTATTATCGTAAATTACAAAAAGCCACATATAATAAAATTTATACACATAAACAGAGTGTACAGAATTTTTTTGTTATCGCAATTTTTTCCTATAAATATATAAAATAAAAAATAATGTGTAATAAAACATTTTTATTAAATAATATAGTAAACAATTTAACATAGGTTTGAAATTTTTGAAACACCCATGCCGTGTCACCATACAAGCGCACAGTGTTCCATTACTCTCCCCCTGCCTAAACTAAAAAGTGGAATATCTCGTCAACGGGTCGATGAAAATCAAAAATGTCAATACCAAATTTATTTAAACAATTACACCATCTATTTATTGAATTTTGAATATAAATTGTCATTTGAATTTCAAAAGTTAACCTCCAAGTCCTCCCAAAAAGACATCTACAAATTTCAAACGCACATATAATTTTATATTTAATAAAAATGTTTCATTATACATTATTCTTTATTTTGTATATTTATAGGAGAAAATTGCTATAACATAAAATTTTATACACTCTGTACATATATTCTCAGAGGATAAATCATTTCCAGATATTGGTATACACATTTTTGGTAATCATGGAAATCTTTGAAAATCTTATAGGAAATCAAGTTATCATTGAGAAAATTTTGGTATTCTGGACTCTCGTGTGTAAAATATTAATCAGTATTTTATCCTCTGAAATTTCACATAAAGAATAAAAATACCTATCATTTCACAAATAGTTAACAAAACTTATACTACTAAAATAGGTGTATTCAACATTATATGAAAAAAAAACACTACTACTAATAAAAGCTTTCAATTTAAAAAGATTCTTATGATCACCCATTTAAAGTCATATAGATTAATATACTAAACCTTAAAATATTTATCCAGCAAAGATAAACCTTATGGCAGCTCATATAATAATATATTACATAACTTGTTTATGTATAAAAGTGTACAGAAATACACCGTCTCTCCAGAACAAATCTGTTTTCTACTACTAAAAGTCTGTTAATGCCGGTCATTTATGCACTCTCACCGCATATACGAGAGATTCCTCACCTCATTATTAATTCATCGAGCTTTCACGAAACCATTCTCTCTCTCCTGTATACTGAAAAAAAAACTATCCTCTGTCGCCACGGTCGTCCGTATACAAAAAGGGATACTATAAGAGGATTATTCACAAACCGTATGGACAATATGAGCAGAAAGGGTTTGCATTTACACAACAAATAGGAACTCTCACCGCCCGCACTAGATTATTTTGGAAAATTTCAGTGTTGAAAATTTGCATCATCGGTTAAAAAGGGGTTGCGATCGTGACGTTGAATGCGTTTATAAAATACACCGTGAGAGAAAGGAAAAGTAAACAAAATTGATTATCAATGACAATGTTATTTGCATATTTTATACTACGAATACCTATAACTAATAACGAATTGTCACATTTTCTTCTTTTTTTTTTTGTCAACAATACAAATATATATTATTATAAAGAAAGTTTGTTTATATGCATAAAAAGTTTAACTACATATAATCTTGTCTTAATAATACTGCATACATATAGATATATATATATATGCTATATAAAGCTATAAATATTATTATCCCATCTTTAGAATTCGAGGGGACAAATTTATTATTGTAACGCGTGACTTAAAACTTTCATACTTAATTTAGCAATAAAATTGTGTTGTATTTCTTCGTGAGTAATAAATTTCGACAATAATAAATATGATAAAATGATCAATTTTCCAAACTACAATATAGACAACACACTATTTAAACATATCATAATACTAGAATAACATCGTAAACTTATATAAATATATATAAAGATGCACATATTAAATAAATTACGTATTTATTTATTTTCAATTCAGAGCTGAATGAGGCGAATTATTTAAATCCATCATAGTTTTATAGTTTTACAATGATTGTAATGCTTTTACACTATTTTTAAATAATATTTCCTTTGGTCATAGTAAGGTTATAGGGTTCACAGCACTTCTTTAAATAAAAATAGATAATTATTAATTTTAATTTCTCAGTTCGGCCTTATAAAAATGTAGTTGAACAAAAAAAGGCTCGATAAATTGCAATTAACAGAAAACATTTACATTCTTTTCATCTAGAAAATTCGATACTTAATTATCGGTTTTAAATTGTTAATAATAATTTAATTATTCTATGTGTAATAATTTGCACCAAAAACAGTGTATAACATTAGCCTATTCTCGCAAGATTCAAATATTCTATAGATATTGTTCTTTGTTAGAAATAAAAATAAATAAATAATAACATGATTCAAATGAAATAGTTATCAACACATTTCTAAACGTTAAGGAATATTAAATATATTTTTAATTAAACGTAGAGAATAAATCTAATTTAATGTATATTGTAAATTTGAAACGTAGTAATGTATAGTGTTTTAAATAGAATCATACAGGAAAATTTAAATAATAAAATAATAAAATGTACTTTAATATTAGAATAGTATAAAATATCAGTTTCGTTCAATACTCGGTAACCACGGCGGAAATTTCCCGTAAAATTGAAAGTGGTTATGTAAAAATAACAAAATTCGGTTCGTCTCATCACGAGTCATACTAATTTAGACTAAATCAGTCGCAAAAGTTTGTGACCATAAAACCTATTTTCTCCTTTAGACGGTATCAAAATTATTAATTACCCCTTTCTAGAATTCCAAAATTAATAATTCACTGGAAATATTATTTCATATTATAATAAATGACAAAATCATAAAGTCGAAAAGAAATATTAAGTATTAAGATTATTATTTCGTTGTCTGGTAAAGGAGGGAGAGTGAATTACGAATTATAATTTACACTATCAGAAATTAAAACAAAGTGAAAATTGTATGAATTTGGAACTAGAAATAATTTACTATTGTATTTGTTTTTCACGAATTTCATCTTAAACACTAATTTAAATCACGTATATAAATATATATAAAAAAAAAAGGTAACTCGTGGATTTTCCAATATTTTTATTTTAATATATACAAACAACTTATGAGGAAAGTAGCTCGAATTCTCAAGCACTTCTACTAGGTAAGCAAAAACAATTTTATGCACACAAAATCAAATAAAACCAAAAAAAAAAAAAAACTAAAAATACCACTACTCAACGCATCAACTGGACACAATTTTCTACCAAAAACCTCCCCACCACTGATGTCAAGGATTGGAGCAAGTTATTTGGTCACAAACTTGTTCACAGGCCGAAAAAAGCACATAATAGTATAAAACTAATACATTTTTCGCTTCGCTCAGAATCTAAAATTAATAAAATATTTGATGTGTTGTATTCGTTTGTTAAAGCGTTTTCATCATAATAATATATTATGAACCTTGGTAAGAAGCAGTTATTAACATTATATAAACTGCAATTCTCGTAAAAATTATTCTTGCTTAGAACTAATACAATAGCACCTTAGGGCTTAGGGTACTCATCCGGAAAATTATCTACATTAATTAAATATTCAATTTTAAATGTACTCAGGTACTTAAAATCAGTAGGATTAACTTTCAATCATATTTAATATCTCAGGTATATTTATTTTTTATAATATTATAGTATATAGTCTTGTATGAAGTTATTAACTCACACGGATTAAATTTGGAGAAATATATGAGTTTGGTAAAAACATTTTAATTCTCTCAAGCGAGGACAATCCTTAACCATCCCTCACGGTATAATATAAATATAATTCAATCGTATAAATAAATTATGTATTTTTTTTTTTTTTTTATAGATTCTAAATCAGTTTAATCTATGATGCATAGCGTTTTATTTTTGATGAAATATTTAGACATTTAGCTGATCAGAACATATAATTTGGCAAGTATATGACCAGAGTGCAATTCGAGAGAAGACAAATTAATGGACTCCCAATGAAAAGAAGCCATTAGGACGACCAAGGATGGGTAGACAAAGTTAGAAGTGATTTGCAATTACTGGGAGTGACAAACGGTAAAGAGTTAGCTGATGATGGAGAAGCATGAAGCGTGGTGGTTGTGATGAAGGACCTGTATTAAGCCTCAGAAAAGAAAAGAGAGAGAATATATACAAATCACTATTCTACCAGAAATTTTGCTTAAATCAAAAACTTCGTGAAAGCTGTCTTATATAATTTTTTAATTTTTATTGAAGTTATATTAATAAATGGAAAAAATAAACGGAAAATTTTATATTTTTATATAATTTTGTATTTATTTTGAGATTACTTAGGTATACCAAGAAAACATATACGACTACTCAGAATTGTTTTTCGATACCAATAGTTTATCGTTGCGTACAAATACAAATTAAGTTACTCTATACTTGAACCCTTTGAACTCTTCGTCCTAAAACAGTGGCACACCCAAGAGCAATATCAGCCTTTTTTTTATTATACACTTATGTCGATTATACGTAGATAAATTAATCTACAATTAAATTACCAACGAGTAAAAATAATTACATTAACTAAACTAACGGGAAGATTTTATAATATTAAGTGTTAAAGAGGTGACGAGTTTCGTAAATTAAAAATACACGAAGATTATAAATCATATAGTATGACAACTATACGTAAAGCTGAAGGCTACTGCAGGTACAGTACCTAACTAATTTATTTTTATTTTTATTTTTTATCAGACTGCAACTAAATGACTTATCGGTTATAATAGACTGTGTAATTTGACCTCGTCTACGCTCGATAATTATCAATTATTATTTTGATAAATGCATATAGTAGTATAATAGTAGTCATAAAGTGCAGTTTCAATATACATTTCCGGAGTGTGTTACGTTACTGTATTGTAATGTATTTATTCTCGAATTTTGTATCGACATTTCGATATATTAGTAGTAATAATAAAACAATAATAATAACGTGTAAACTAATAATAATACCCAGGATGAATTTTCATGCAATTTTAATTTTACTATAATAAATCATATAATAAGTTATTGCATCTAATACACGCTTTTTTTTTTATAAATTATAACTATCTATCAGGTATGTAAAAAATAATGATCATTTAACAGTAATAATAATTATTATTTTGCTTAATTAATTGATTAAATGCTACCTATAAATAACTCAAAAAACAACAGAATATTTTGAAAATTATGTCACATCTATAAACTATAAAGTGCTATAGTATTCGATGAGAATTTCAGATTTCAACAATTATTTTTCACTAAATTACCACAGCAAATTAAAATCAGAAATAGCAGAAACCGTTATTGCAAAAATATTCTCCGTTTTCCCCATTAATTAAAAAAAAAAGTAAGTACAAAAGAAGATCGAAATTAATTATTTACTTATACATACATCCTTAAACATCAGAAACCACCATTGAAGTTGATGACTGCCAATAAATGGAGCAACATTTCTGGTTAAAAAGTTGTTTACAGAGAGAAAAACAAAAGCATGCATCATATTTCGTAGTAATAAAAACTAACACATTGATTGATTTCCTCAGAATCTAAAACGATAATAAAAAAATGTACAAAATGAATTGTGTAATCATATTTTGTATGCAATAGCAAAATCAGCAATACAAATAATTTAAATCGATTAAATTTTCTATAGTTCAAAATTTAAATTACACGTTATTAATTTTCAGGGAATCGATCTAAATTTTCATCCTATTATCTCTTTACTGACGATTTTATCTATATTCATAATAAATGCAATACTGCAGCGTGAAAGTATTACATTTTCATATTAAACATTATTGATTATAGGTATTACAATAATTAGTCATTGTGTTATAATTGATTAAGTGTTTATTGACTCACTGCAGCCGTCTTAGAGTTAAAACACTTAATCTTTTATCGCGTTATTATGTTAACTTATTAATTATATTGTTTTAAATAATATATTGTTTCTATTTGTATATTTTCTTGTGTATACGTCTGGTAAAATACATTTTCAAAGTATTGAAAATATATACACTTGACACGTGTAAAGAACACAGCAATTTTAAATTCAATTGTATAATAAGTATACCTACATATAAAATTATAGGCTTTCTTCGAATAATGTCTTTAATGCACTAAAGGCATACCTAAATATGATGTATATCGTGGTTTTTTTTTTTTAGAATCGCCTTCACATTTCTTTACGGTACGGTGTAAATATAATTTGGAGCATTTTTACAGACCGAAAATTTGTTTTCCGAGAAATAGAAACACACGAATAGTAAAAATTCGAATAGCTTCCTCGCTACAGCGAATCTAAAATAAGATTTACAACAATATAATATTATTATAAACAACTTTTATTATGAGTGCCTACTGAATTTATTGTTAAAATATAACGATACACAAGTTATGTTACGTTACGTATTGTTCGTGTACGTTTCTCGATATATTATTTTAACATTAAAAACAACCGAAATAGTGTCTTGTAAAGGTCAGTTTTGTAAATAAAAAGTGATTGTAAATAATATATATATAAGCCGCACGAACCCCCGTAGGGCCAATATTTGTTTTTCCCTTTAACGTGTGTAAAATGCCATTATATAAATGTAAATACACACGACCCAAAGCGATTTGCCGTACACGCTATTAAATTTACCGGCCGACAAATTAAAAACTATATATAAGCATATAATGTAACGTAATTTTAATAATGAGATGTTTGCTGTTTTTGGGGGAAAAAAACCCATGTAACCGCCTATAAAGCATGCTTAATAATTACCCACGTATATTATATTGCAGTTACGTCGCCGGTACAAAAAAATTATTACAAACCATTTATGCATAATGTATAATAGGTATAATTATATAGGTACACATACGCATACAGGTACTTGCCTATAATTTTTAGATGCCTACACTAATGGCTTAAAGTTCAAATTAGTGCATATATTATTATTGTACTGAATATTATATATTATATGATATACATCGAGTACATTATAATTGTATCTATATTCCGGCGGTCTCAAGAGGAAAAGAAAAAATCACTGCTTATAATCAAACATACATTCTCAGATACGCTCTGAATCCGCGATCGTCCGATAATTTTTGCCTAGTTGATAAATTCAGAAACTGTTATAATGTGCGTACGAGTGTTTAAAACGACTGCACAGTTCGAAATGTAAACATAATATTTGATTATTAATAACGTGCACGCGTTTTGTAGACACGTATTTAAGATTCGCGCGACCCCTCGCGGTTAACGTGTTCGGTGCACTTGCATGAAAAAACGAAAATCGAATACCAATATTTTAAGAAGAAAAAAAACAACATGTAAGTAGCCGAAAAAAAAAAAAATCACATTGAAAATAAGGATCATAATTCACGGTCCGGGTGGACGAGTGCCAAACGCGCGTTGCTGACGATTTATGACGCGACCGGCCGCCAGGGCTGAGGCACGCGCCAACAGCGGCACCGGCGGCCCGCCGGGTCGCGTATTTCCGTATAGGCTCGCCGATTGGTCGCCGCCGAAACCAGTGCTGAGATTCCGTTAACTTACTACGCGATAAATGCCGGACGCACTTTACACACGGCGTGCACCGGGGCACGCCACTGCTGTGTACGTGCGGCTGATGTAGGGCACATTCAATGTTTACACACGATAAACCGGTACAATGTGAAAAAACCGCGATTTCGAGCGGAGCTCGGTAAACTGCAGAAAAGGTAACACGGTACGATGTTAGTCGTGTGTGTGTTGTTGTTCCTCGCACCACCACCCGCCAGGCACAAGTCGATAAATGAACGCCGTTTGCGCGTTGTCCGTTGTTTTTTTTTTCTCTCCGGAAAAGCTGTCGGCGGTAGTCTACCATAGACGTTGTTTTCGAGGAGTGAATGGCGCGCCCGGGCACAAAATCCCGCACAACTTCACGCGCCTGAAAACACGGCGGAAAAAACCACTACCGAAAAGGCGCGGACAAAAATAAAACGCGTCCCGGCAAAACTTTACCGCGACAATTTCGTTTCGCTGCACGCCCAACAATAACGCTGGGCGTCTGCAAACGCGGACTTCCGCACGGGCGTTTCGGATTCGCGGGCCGGCGGACTGTGCGGCGCGTGGACAGGTACGGTACCCGGTCGGGCTCCGCGAATCGCGAAAACATCGTCCGCTCGACAGCCGATTCGTCACGGGAAGCCAGCGGATCTCCGGGTTTTCGGACGGCGCGCGGCGGAACCGAGTCGCCGGGTCTGTACGGAAACGCGCTGCCCGGTCGACCGCGCGCGCGTCGTTTTTTTTAAAATGTTTTTATTATAATTATTATGATTGTTATCATTATTCGCGGTGCGCGCCGCCGTTGACCCGATCGTTGTAGTAAAAGTCGCAAAACGGACGCAAGGCCAAAATTGCATATCACCCACACACCCACACACACACACACACGCGCGCGCGCATACCTCTAGATACGTCGCGCGCGTTATTATCGTCGTGTCGCACCGCGGTGTATAATGTAGGTCGCGCGTGCGTTTTCTTTGAAGAACAAATAGAAAAAATAACAAACGACATGATAAGAGAAATGATATTATTATTATTATTATTTTTATCAACGCCCCGGTGGCTCGGTACGCCGATTAAATAATAACGCGTCGTCGTCGCGTACGATCAATAATATATATTATAATAATAATAATAACACACTCGCGTGTACGAGTACGGTACCCCTACTTGATAATAATAATATAAACGACGTATGCGATTCGTATTACACGCGCACACACGCACACACACACGTGTGTGTGTGTATATATGTATATATATCGCACGCCGCCGATTGAGGAAGGTCAAGGTCCGACCGTAGGAAGGGGAACGCGCGTATTATTATAACACACTGAATCGCGTGTGCTACGTACGCGCGTACCTACATTACAATGTACGTAGTCATTACTACGCATACAGGGTGTCTCGCGGCGGCGATCGGACGCAAACGCGATAACTTTTGTTCGGTGTTCGATGGCGGTTTTAGACGTTTTTCGCTTCGCACACAATACTATTACTATTTATACCGGGCCTCGCGCGCCGTTATTTTTATGTATTTTTCCACGAAAAAAAAACCACTAAAAATGGAATTTTTTTTTTTTTTATTTACGAAATCCACGGTGACATTATGTTTGTGTACACAAAAGTGTTTAATGTTTTTTAAAAAATATATAAACATCACAGCGTTAAACTCAAATAATTAATTATTCATAAAAAAACATAAAAATATTGAACAGAACCAAAGTTGTCAAAATATATCAATAAGTCAAATATCTGTGGGACAACCCTGTATAGTCATTGAACGTAATATTATAATATTATAAAAACGTGCATGTACAACTTTCCCTATATTTGTATACGCATATACGAGTGAGATGGTGTACAGTGAGTACGTAAAAAATATAACTGACAAACCAAAAAGGTAATAGAGGGAGTAATTTATTTTGTACGCAATGATAATTTATCGCGAACGAAAAACGATTCGGAACGAAATTTGGTCAAACGTGTGTTATTGATAAATTTAAGTTGTTGTAATCAGTTACTATAAATAATAAATTATAATTGTTCGTGTTTTTAACGAATTTGAACTTAAAGCACGTTGGTAATAATTATATATTTTTTTCGCATAAAAAACTCAAATAGCTATAAAAAAACAAAACCGAAAAACGCCAGAATATTTTTAAAATTATACTACGTCTATAAAATACTTATACAAGTATTCGGTCATGATTTCAGAACTCTGCGATTATGTTTCGCTTAATGAAAACACATAAACAATATCGAAAATAACAGAAAACGTTAATATCCCAGTTTTAAGGAAAATAAAAAAATGAACTACTCAATACATCGACTAGACAAAATTTGCTACCAGAAACTATCCCCCGTGCGTGTTGATGATTAAAGCAAGATTTCTTATGGGAAAGTTGGCAAAATTTTAAGATTTATGTAAGTATATATTTTAACGAAATATTAACATTATATCAAACGCTTTTTGAGATGTAAAAAATTTCGCCAATGCATTCAGCTTTTAATTTTTCATCACTAAGAACAACTTTGCTAATAATGTGTAGAACGTCATATCAAAGACATTCGAATATTCACATTAACCGAATAAAAACTAATCGAAAATGTCAAATGCACAATTTAAAAACAGCAAAAATATTTTTAAAAACCATACCACGCGTCTAGAAAATTCGAATACACAAACATTATTGATATGAAATGTTCAAGTCTTTGTACGTTGTTTTTTACATTTTCTTAGTAAATAGACCAAGAAAAAACCAAAATTCATTTTTTAAAAAATCTGTGTAGCGTGTATGTTCAAGTCTTTGTACGTTGTTTTTTACATTTTCTTAGTAAATAGACCAAAAAAAAAAAAAAAAAAAAAAAAAAAAAAAAAACAGCAACAAATCACCTCCACTTACCCAAACCAAATTGAATCCGAAATTCTATAGGAAAAAATCTCATATAACAATAATAGCAATATAACAGGTAAACAGTGTTTTTTGTTCGGAGCAAATTATCCGGCCGAAAACTCGTTTACAAACGGAAGAGAAAAAAAAACGCCAACACATCCGCACGCCGTAATAAAACACGTCACACGGCAACGCGTGATATTTCAATAAGTTATTATTGTTTTTTAACGTTCGCCCGTTTTCTTTCGCGGGGCGACAATTCGATTTAGCGCGGCCGTGGCTTTTTGCAGCATCCCGCGTGGTGCCCACGTGCATCCTATAATATACGCGCGCGTAACGTAACATATTCAATTTCATCACAATATTGATGAGATGTTGACAGTTAGTTTTCGTTTACTCTGGACCGTGTCCGAGGTACCCATTTTCTCGACGGCCGCGTCTTCCGAACGTCGCAGTTTTCGCTGCGGTTGGCGTTAGTGGACTGAACGGAAATCCAATATACAAACGAGCGTAAAATAAGGACACGAATTACTGTACGGGAAGAGCACAGTCACTGTCGCCAGCTGCAGCCGTAATGAACGCGATATCATATTATATAGCTCTGCGGAAAATGGTCGTTGAACCATATTATACAGTTAAAACGTCAGAATAACACAAACCGAACATAAAATATAATACCGTTTGTATATACATATTATATCGTACAGAATACTGCAACGATAGTTACACACGCCGCAACAACATTCATTTCGAATTTCGACAAAATCGCATAACATTTATATGTATACGTATACAGAAGTCTTGTTAAGATTTAAGCATATATATATACATATATTATAAATCAGATAAATAGAATCTTCTTCTTCGAGCACTCTTCGCCGCTGGCATCATCCCGTCATACATCCCATTTCTCCAGTCATCTCTGTCAGACGCTCGTTCTTTTCAATCTGAATCTCCGCCCAATGTCTTTTTTTACCACTTCAATGGCCACTTTTCAATCACCGGTTACCCTACAGTTTTCCAGTACTAGGCACAACAAGAGATCTGACTATGCTGAGCCTATTATGCAGCCTATAATATAGTCGTCTCAAAGACGTTGGGTCTGTGAAAGATTGATTCCAGTTCATTACATGTTCCTAATCTTCACTACTCATTGTTAATGACATCCTTTATTGATAAGTAAATTCTCCTCAAAACGTTCCTCGCCCAAGCTATCAGTTTTCTTTCACCTACCTTTCGTAATAGCCACGTTTTCGCTCCAAGTATGATCGCCGATGTAATAAAGTGTTGTATAAGTGGTATATTTAAATCCCTTGATAAAGATCTACATCCCGGCAGATTTACAAGTCCATATAAACATCTGTATAAACAAGTATCTTCGCTATTAATTTTTTTTTATGTTTTGTTTTGGTTCGGTTAACACTCGGTTAATCTGGACCCTAGAAGTGCTGATTTCTGAAAGAAGGGAATCTAAAATTTATATACCACTGACCGATACGCAAAGATTGACCCTAAGTTTTTAAAATCTCGGTTCTATTGAAAACTATAGATTTCTACTTTTAGGATTGGGTAAAATATAATAAAAAATAAATAAATTATAAAATAAAATATTACAATACATACGTTGTATTTTTATTAGATCCAAATTTCATAGAATATCGTGACTAAATTTTTTTTTTAAAATTGGTCAAGTGCGAGTTGGACTCGCGCACTTGAAAATGTTTGTACCATTTTTAGGTTTTTTATTTAAGTGATCGTTATGGGTAATATAATATTAAGAGCGTATTTCAAGTCGATATCTCATTTCATTTAAAAGTCAAAATGCTTTCTGACAGAAAAAATGACTTGTATAAAGTGATATGAAAATAATATTTTTCCCAAATAATAATAATAATAATAATATGGGCACTTAAATGTACTTATATTACTTAAAGATAATTTACACAATGACATAAGACTGTATTTAAAAAAAAAGATAAATAAGAATGATTTATTTTCAATAAAATAGATCAAATCCTAAAAAAAATCATTGAGTATTATATAAATACAAATGCGAAATTAAAACTAAATTATAATAATAATGAATAAAACCAGTTTCAATCGGAAATGTAGAATATCACAACCATCAAGTGTCAACAATCGATGTACATATATAATTATAACGGCCTAAAAAAATCATCTCTCTTTTTATAGGCTGTCGAGAGTTACCCTTTGGCTGTAGTAATAATATTTTTGTCTTTGACTTTGCCCGAAAAAGTTGAAAAATGTCCACACATTTCAATTCAAATTTTAATACGGTTTCGTTTTGTATGCATTAGATTCGATACATTATAAATTGTAATTCAAATAGTCAACAGAACGCGGTTACTGTCTCTCTACGATCATTTTTGGTCACTACAGACCAAAATCAAAATGTATAGCTTCTTCTTTTAAAACGTGATCATATTATATAGAGTATAGAATATTATATAGACGGCAGCCGAGCTCCGTTGACTATGGTCACGTTTTAAAGGAATAATAATAATAATAGTACCTGCGATACATTTTGATTTCTGTGTAGTGAACTGATGGCGAATCAGTATATACTCGTTTTCCTTCAATCGTACAAATAAATATTATTTTTCTTACTTTACATTGACTGCAGCGCGATCGATTATTATTATTATTATTATTATAGTTGTTGGCCACATCATAATAATACAAGTTTCAATCGGTTATACACGCATCCGAATAACGCTACAAAACCATCAACAAGGCCATTCTAGGTCGATTTTTTATTTGTGAAGGGTGTTAGTTTGACCAAACTTTTTGTACGATAAACTGTGTGTGTGTGTGTGTGTGTGTGTGTGTGTGTATGAAAAAAAAAATGGGAAAAATCGATTTCTCTAACAATAAAAACGTTATCTGGACAATCCTTTTTCCCCGCGTGGGCCACTCGACCGTCATAATTACTGCACACAGCCATTCGATCAGGGTTATAAAAATGTACAATAATACCGGGTCATTTTATGGACGCTATAAAATTAAAACCTCGATTAAAACCGTCAACAAGAATATAGATGGGATGTTCTCGAATTTTTGGAATTTACTACCACCGACAAGCGAAACTCTAAAAATGGTTCGTTTAATGTTTGCGCAGCTGTCAAAAAAGATCAACGACCACGCCTGGATATCGTGCATAATATTCATTTTTAATTTTTTTTTTTTTATGTATAATACAAAATAGCGGTAACGAAAATATAATCATTTTAATACTACGCTACAAGTGAAAAACAAAAAAATAAATATTATTATCTACATGAACTCAAAACGCATATAATTAATTGATAGTTAAGTGATGTGCCTTTAGTAAATACCCGGAAGTCGGATAAATATTATTAATATAATTGTTTATATTTTGGGTGCCTACCAAAATTCGGGTAAATATTTGTTTTTTGTCTGGACAAACTATTTTAACTAATGGTTAAATCTATATTCATCAAATATCTAATCAGTTTATGGACATAAGTATAAAAAATAACAAGTTGTCGCATATAATTCAGTGCTGTATATAAGTATTAAATTAAAAATAACTGTAGGATCCAATTTACTAGGTAACTAATCTTAAGTAAACTAATTTTTGAATAGCTTTACATTTATAAGCAGTGGCGTAACCAGGATTTAACAATGGGGGAAGTGGATTTTAGGGGTCTATGAAGGCTTAAGGGTCTACAACCTTCTACTTAACCTTTACTAATAGCTAAAAAAAAAGGAATAGGGAGGGAGGAATCACAATACTCCAACCCCGTCCTGGTTACGTCACTGGTTATAAGATTGCTTATACCGTTGTGTTTGTAAGTAAATAATTAAATAAGTAAATTTTTAAATAAATTACGACTCTACACAAAAATACATACTTTTTGTAAACAAATAAATTATATTTATATTTGAATTTATACTTTTCTCATAATACTGTAATTTTATAAAATTAATAATCTGCCAAATAGTCGTATCTATATATTCGTAAAAAATATTCAGTAACCAAACGTAATTTATTCTTCGTAGAATATTTTATTTTATTTGTTCACCAACACCATCATCAATTATATTATATTTTGTCAAAGTGATAAAAAAATAATATAATATCTATCAATCTTAATTTATTAATAATCACTTTAAATTTGCCAACGAAATAAAAAAATACGATGGCTATAATGAATCGCACGATTTTTCATTCTGGTGCAGTTCCAAATAATTATTTAAAAGATAAAACTAATAACGAAATAATAATAAAGAAAAAAAAATTTAAAAAATAGGGCTCGGTTATTTTTTCAACATACTAATAAATTTATAGCGGACAAGTGGGAGAAAGGTTTGGCCATATGGACGTTTGAAAATAAACTGCCATCTTGTAATGTTTGGATTAACATTAAGCAAACGTGTTTCTGTCTTTATAATGTATAGAGACGGACGCATCGTATAAATACATAAATATACATTTACGGCCCGAAAATCATTTCAAAAAAAAACATTTGTAAAAAAATTAAGAATCAAAGAAATTATGATTGTAAATTAGTAATATTTTATTATAATAGGTACGTAGGCGTTTATTTACCTAGGTATTTTTTCAAATTTAGTAATAAAGTTTAAACGGGTTTTAACGAAATTAGGTACAGTTGCCAGTGGAATAATTAAAACCTCGATTAAAACTAAATGTATTTTTATTATAATAATATTATGTATACCTAGGTAGGTAATCAAAGATGTGAATTGAATTATGATTATTCTTTTTAAAACGATGCTGATACTGCCTACGGGTATATGCCACTGTTATACAAGGGACGTTGAAAGGGAAGTAATAATATATAGAATAATTTAATTTGTATCTATACGCAACGATAGCCATTGCTAATCAAAAAATATTCCAAACAAAGTATTATTATAATAGTAAAGTCTCGTATTTTTTCCCTTGTACAGAAAATTGCCGATTTTTTAAAAAAAATGTATTGAAAAACACAAAACAAAAACACATACACATTGCATTATAAACCCACAAATACATAATATTTCTATTCGCTCGGAATCTAATATTATGCAAATATATACTGGCTTAAACACAGATGTATAAAATATCTATGCGAGATAAGCACAAAATATGTTTATTTTGTGATAAATACATATTATCGGACGACGCTAAAATATAATTTTATTACATTATTAAAGCAGCTGATCGTATTCAAACTAATATATTAACAACCTAACTGAAATCCATATCGACCGTACACGTGTGCACAATTTTTTTATAATCGTCAGTAAAAATTATTGACTGTGTTATATATTTTATTAACATAATAATATTTATCGATGCATAAATATCGTCGATATCGATTGAATTAATAAATTATACTGCGTACGAGTGCAGCACCATCTAACGCGTCTGTCATATTTTATTTATATCGTTATTAAAAGTAGTCGTCAGAAAACAATACGTATTTTGTTATTGTAATATATTATTAGTGTGTCCGACCAAATTTAGAATCGTAAAAGTAGTACGCGACAAAATAATATCATACTCGTTGTTTGTTGTTTATGAAAGGCTGCAGCGGATCGAACAATGCGAAAATCTCAATACTTTTATAATCACCACGGGGTTTATCATCGCCGTAATATTCTAAGACCGATGACCCCGTTTGATTATACCTCTTTTCTTTTTCGTGCCCAGTAATAGTGATCGTTATTGTAGCGAAAGTCGTTTCCTTCATTATTGTTATTATTTTTGTTTTTTTTTTTTTTTTTTGCCGCGTGACCATAAACGTACATTTGCCAGCTTCTTATCGGAAATTAGAATATTATCATTATTTAAATGTATATCAACTGATTTATTGTTTGTGTTTAATTAACATATCATATATATATATATTTTTTTAATCTACACCTATCATATTTCATATTATTATTACAATTTAATACGTAACAAAAGTATTATAACAGTATTCGAAAACAAAAGTAACTGTAAAACGCATAATATTTTCAATAAAATTCAAACATGGGTATATAAATGGAAACTTGATGAAAATTCGTATTGTGTACTCGCGGATTCATCCGTAAAGACATTATTGTTTTTTGTGCGTATTTTCTCTGCCCTGTGCAATATTAATTGGATATTTCTATTTAACCGATACAATGTTCTTAAAATTTATTTACACGCATATTGTACGAGAACTTCCGAATAATAATATGTTCGTATTTCGCTCCGCTTAAATCGGTTTTTGATAAAGCGTCGCGTATTAAATATACCGGAGGTGGTTTAAGCCAAAAATAACAATGATGATCGGGAGAAAAACCGAAAGAGATAGGCAAACAGAGAGAAAAAAAAAAAAGAAGACAGTATGACGATCATCATAACAACCGAGAGACTATTTGGCCCTTTGCCCCTTGAAATGAGCAATTAATAGTATACGACCGTATGGCCGACTTAAGAGTCTAATTTAAATTCGTTTGACCGTTGCTCGTAATGTAGGTGTACTTAGGTACGTGTATTATTATTATTATAAAGAGTAATCGAAAATGTCAATAGTTCTTACCTGTTTTTTTCCAGCTCGTTATGAGTCGTCCTGTAACCAAACAAAAAGAACAATTATTATTATTATTATTATTACCGTGCGTTAAATTGCAATTTTCATATAAAATATTTATAATATACAGTTACGTAATGTTTACCCGTTAATTTTCGTAAAAGATTTCGCAATGAAAACTTCATACATGTATATATAATTTGACACGAAGCCAACATGTCAAAATTACAAACTCAATATCTGGGCCATACATGTACTCGTGTGTGTATGTTATATATAATGTATGGTTATTTAAAGTGTAAAACATCAACAAATAATATAACCAAATGTTTTCTAATGTAATACGAGTGTGTACACATAGAGATGCGACTCTAATTCAATTGCACACGATTTAGTGGATTTTAATTTTTAATGGACTATAAATATTACATTATTACGAAAACATTTCGCTCCGGGGCACAATAACATAATGAAATCGTCTTTTTATTTATTTATTTTACATGTGTATACAATCGTCGTTTGTGAAATATAGTAAATTTATAATAATTTGCTTTTGGACGCCATAACTCAAGTTTTAGGGACAAAATAGTAGGACATTTGCGTATACGTCACGATAGTCTAACTAAAAAAGTTATAGAAGGATACGTATATAAGAAGACCACATCGAAACACCAAGGATGGAATATATGAAATAAATCATCATAGATATGGGCAAGGAGTAAGAACAGCTATAAAGAGTTAAAAAATTTAATTTATAAATAGGATGCATGGACAACTGCTGCAAACCAATCAAACGATTGAAGACGAAAAGAAGAATATGATCCATGCACATGTACTTGTCTCCGTCGCTTTCAACCGTACAAATTTTCGTTCAACGCGAAAAACTCTATGTTGTCAGTTGGAGTGAATCGACCTGTAACTTGGAGATAAGGCCATAATCCGTATCGTATTGTCGTTTTTATTTTTTTCGTAATTCTAATTTACAAACGAGATATGAACGTGTGAAATATTCCAATTTTATTTTATTTAAATATTGAAATAACGAAAACAACGACGACACGACACAGATAATGTTCTTATCTATAAATTTGATAGTAGGTCAATTCACTTCAATATTAATAATGGATTAGGTTGTCCCTGCGCATGGCATCCTCTTAAGTAGCGGTTCTCAAACTTTGTGTATATTGGCAACCCAAGATATTTACCCAATTTTTCATGCGACCTTTTTGAAATTGATTCACATTGGGGTTTACCCACCCTACCCAATTCACTTAATCATTCAATTGTCATAACTAAAGTAAAGTGTTAGTAGCGTTACCTTCCATTTGTTTTTAAAGTACCTAATATACACGACTAAACGAGTAATTGTGAAGTTCAAAATATCGGTAATTAATACTAAAACAAATACAACTCAACAATTTATCAAATTTAATCGTTTCCGAGAATATCGACCGATAAAGTATATTCGCAGCACTGAAAGACCATAGTACAAAATTATGAATTTATACTTGTTTGTCAAAAAAAAAATAAAAATATTTCGTTAATTATAACACATTTAAAACTATTTTATACACTTAGTCTGAAATGAAAATATTATATTAATGTTTTAATTTTTTAGCAACCCATTCAAAATTATTATCCGCGATCCGGAATTGAGTCGTGGCCCTATGGTTGAGAAATGCTACCTTTAAGTATTATAAATTTGAAAGGAACGGTATAATCGATACCCATAATAAATTATCGTATTATTCTAAAAAAGATTCTGTCTATAAGAAAATCGGTTTGAAAAATTTGAAATTAAAACTCCGAAGTATGAATTAGAGTAAGAATAGATAAATAAATATAACGTTTATTTTCACAACAAATGTGAGCTCAATTTGTTTATACCTATCTAAAAATTTGTCTACAATTTTATTTCAAAAACTACATATACAGAATTTTGAAGTCTTTAAAATCATCATCAATAGTTAGTTTAATTTGCAGCAATGTCGACAGAAATACTACGCGCAACATTGTAATAACCTCTCGGATAACTATTGCAGGCTCGAAAATTCTAAAATCTATGTGTAGGTGTTCAAATACAATTGAAGATTCAATTATAACATTGACTGTTAGAATAACATAAGACAAATTAATGTTTCGGGTATTTTTCAAGTTCGATATTTACGTTTTATATTTTAACCACACCGAAAAAATACATTTCATTATAAGAGTGACGACAAGGCACGAGATCCTGCAGTTTCAGCTTTATTATGACATTTTATAGTACCTAAATGTCTCATCAAGGGTCTCATCTATAATGTCAAAAACTGATCGAATCTTCTGTGCGCTCTTGGACCCCGTGAGCCGAAAAGCCTGCACATCAATTCCTGGTACAGGATCTAATACTAAAGCTGACAACAATATTTATCTCTTCTAATTCACGGCGCAATTTAATTTGTTCAAGAAACGGCCGTTAAAGTACAATTGGATGCCGCTCTGTATTAGAGCTAATTAGCTAATAAGCTACCGAATTATAATTTATTCCGAATCGACCTAACTTTTTCAACCTGCACAACTAGGAAAAATCCAGTGAAAAATGTAAAAAAAATATTATCGACATTTACGTAACGAAAATATTTAAATCATTAGGCTTACATTCTATTTTTTCCAATAAGTAATCAGACATATACACATGAACCGATGTGTATAATCGTAACACGCTATAGTAGAACACTTCTTTTTAAATTTGAATGTTCGACACTTCGTTTACCTACAATACATCACTGATGTGTGTTATGTGGTAAATTAGTATACGCATACAATTTGAAATATATACAAATATACCGACTCAAATACCTATATACAGGTAAGCTCGGGTCGTGACTCGTAATATTAAAAAAAAAAAAAAGGGCCTGATAATTTTATCCGAAACATCATTATAAATGAGTAAAAATTTTTTTTTTTATTTTTCCGTACCGCGCGAATCCCCGCAATATTATTCGCGTTAACCAAATATTTCGACGAGTGCACAATAACATCGACATAGATATATCATCGTTAGAATTTAAAAACGTCCGCGGTCTTGTTTAGACAACAATAAACTGATCGTTCTGCCGTGTCGTCGGACCGTTCTCTTATACAATATCGGCCGACCCGGAACAGAAACTCGAACTCGGGACATTGAAAATTTACGGACCCGCGTCAAGTAAAGATTTTATTAGCCCGATTGCGGAGTAACTGTTATTATCGCCGGTAATAAGACTTAGGATACATGCTTGGGGAAAACGGCGCGGTCCTGTTGAAATCAAATGCATTCGAGTCTTTCGTGCGATACCTATATAAAATATATACAAAACTACTTTCCTACGGGTTTTTTTTTTCTTTCTGAAAAACCGACAGGTGACGATTGCGATAATCGTAATTGAAAAACTGGTCTAAAAGGTTTCCACAGAAATATACTTTTTATTATTCGTATAGAGATACGGAAACCTTAATACGAGCCCGAGACACATGTATTCACCATTAACAACAACATCAACTATAAATGTTGTAACGTATACCATTGTATACATACAAGCGCTATAATGAAAATAACCGAATTTACTTTTAATAAAAAAAAAAAAAAAAAGCATATTTTTCGTAGGTGGAACAGTATCTTTTTTTCTTTCTTAATAGACTTATCCTACGCAAGTTATGATAGGTATTGACGATATTATTCTGTACCTAATGATTTTAGAAATTTGTATTCATTCATGATGCATGCATATTATAGAATATAGATATATGCTTATAAATAAATGAATACAGAATGAGATACCTATTGTTTACCATATTATAGACGTTTGAATTGAAGCATATTATTTTTTTGAGTAAACAAATTATTTTACATTATTCATACAGGTAAAGGTAAGATTTTAGATTGTGTCAGATGTGTTCCAATAGAAATACGATAGAAATCTGATATGATATGTATATAGTGACGCAGAAATACAAAATAAATATACATTAGTATTTAGTAGAATATATTTTATTTTTGTATTGTATATAGTATTCGACTTATTATTCAATTCGATAAAAAAAAAAAACTGATTTTCAGTAAAAATGTATGGAACAAATTGCATGACATTTCCACGGATATTTCTTCAGTATAATAATATTTAAATTTACTTATCTTTTTAATCGTATATAAAATATTCAAATACGAAAATGGAGATTAATAAATAATTAATATAGTTCACTAAAAAAAAAAAAAAAACCGAGGATAGACAATAATTATTTTCGCCGAAGTAGAGTATGATTTTACTATTTACAGGGGCGGTAAGTGGTTTTTACGGCGTTTTGGGCCAATGAGCTGGAATAAAATTCACCCCGCTACCGCTCGTCCGATTGTAATTTCGAAAACATATAGGTATTTTTTCTATCTATATTTCGCAGGAAACATTTGTTTAGTTTTGTATACAATTAGTTTTAGTGAAAGTACGCGAAAAGTTTACCTTTTTTTTCTTGAAATAAACTCGTACTTAAGTGTCATAAAAAATAAAATGAAAATATTTTTCTACTCTACGAAATACACATATTATTATACACCAAGTCAAATCGGTTTTTCATAACAGAAATTGGACGAGTGGACGTACGTTTATTTTACTCCGGTTCGTTGGTTGTAAATATACGAAAACCCGAATCGCTTTCAATCGAATTTATGTAACAGTATATTCCATAATACCTGTGTCAATGCAGTACTTCAATAAAAACCGGTTAACATTACAATCGGCAGATCGCACAAAATTCAAAAACACAATCATGAGACCGAACGCAACCAAGTGCAGTACTTTAAATGTATTTTGCGAAATGAAATTCAACTAGACTTTACAAAACAGCCTCGATTCGATACTTAATCTGTTTATTAATTTACCCGTATACGATTTTGTTTGCATACGACAAATTAATGTAATTTGTCGGGTTTTGTTTTTGTTATTTTTTTTTTTTTAACCAGACATAATAAAAATAAAAAAAATAAAAAAATCAAATGATTAAACTGGTATTGCTTTGTCGTTATACTCCGTCGTATTGTGTAAATATGCAGAGTAAAAAAAAAAAAAGTTTCTTGTAAAAACTTCAATTATTTTAATAGTTTATGAAACTTTTTTCCCTTCGTTTGTAATTAAAAATAAAATTTAAAAAAAAAACTACCGAGATATATACACACACATACACCTATATATAATAAATATATACGTGTAGTATTATACGAAGAAAAGCTTTTATGAATACGTTTTCAAATGACATTTTATTATTATATACGTGTATAGGTATAAGATGTTTGTGTGTATATATATAGCGGTATTATATAAGTAGGCAGACATATACCTATATAGAATAAAAAAGAAACCGATAAATTATTTCACCCTTCGCCCTAAGGGGTTGAAAAAAAAAAACATTGAATAAACCCTCAGTCCGTATCGGCAACGTGTAAACACCGTAGCGAGCGTACATGTGATGGCAATTTCCTTCCCGGAAGCCTTTGTCTTGTGTAAGTAGGCGACTATAAAAAAAAAAATAAAAAAAAAAACCCGCTTCGGGGACAGGACGGAGGAGCAGAAATAGTAGGTATAGGTCCTTATACATATAGGCTTTCGTAATTATACGAAAAAAACGCCCAGAACGGACGGGAAGGGGTAGTAGAGTGAGAAATGCAAACACGAGTATTAAAAAAAAAAATGATCCTGAAAATGATATAGATACAGGCCCGCGGATATTCGCATTTGCCATTTTTTCATTTAAAAAAATTAAAAAAATACTTTTGCGTACGAGTAAGTCAATAGGTAATTGCCTGATATCTATGTATATTCTATAAAACGGACTGCAAAAAAAGAAAATCGAAATTATAATAGTTTCGTCCGTTAAAATAATTAAACCGAAAGTTAAACAAAATTATGCAAATGTAGACGGGTACCGGTATAGAAAAGGTTTCTACACAGAAGTGAAAAGTTGTACATAAGTTTGCACCTCGGTTTGCACTTTGTAAAAATTATTTTTCAAGTTCATAATGAACGTTAGAACGTTGTATTAAAAAAGACACACAGATAAAAGTCAGATGTCCCTAAATATGTAAGTACACCAGAGTAAATAAGCAGTCGTAGTATAATTACTTTATACGATTTTAGAGAAAAACTACAGTACTTATATTTAGTATTTACTGTAAATCTCTGTGTATTTTTTATTTTTTTTTTTTTTTGTTTATATATACTGTATGTATATTGTGTGTAAACAAAACGTGTGTTTTTCGCATAAATACTTATGTTTCTTCTACTTGCCTACCAACCTAATATATATTATTGCAATTATCGCACGTGCATCGCCTGTTTTTTTTAAAACTTGAAATAGGATACCGCCAGAGAACCATATAGTTTTGTGTCTATAGCGATGTACCTACTCGATAAAAAAAAAGGGGGGCTGTGAAATTACTAGGCAGAGGTTCGAACCGCGAAGAAAAAGCTGCAGTGGATATAGACGGTGGTGGGCGGAATGGGCGTGAGATGGGGTGATGTAAAGAAGCTTAGAAATCAGAGAAGACGATAAGGAAAAAACAGAAGAATACAGTTTAATTTATAATAGGTGCCTATACCTCTAATCACTGGCCTAATCGTAATTTCGAAATGATATTAAAACCCAATCTCTATAGATTAGGACTGATGATAGTCAAACGATTTTGTCTTGGACGAGGCTGATTTTTTTAACATTTATTACTATTTAGGCGCAATTTTTTTTTCGCTACAATGCGAGTACAATTCATATTTACTTAGATACAAGCTATACAAAACGCATTATTGTTATAAACACGTTGAACGGCATAAGGTCGGGACGGACACGGAGATGTATCCTCCTCGTCTCGACCCTGGTTCGTCGTCGCCGATCAGGACGAAACATTAAAATTATCGGAAACAGTGGAGTGCGGTACACACGCGTCATATAGCGTACGGGACTTGTCGGCTGTTATTGGCACTCGGCGGATTGGCACGTGTTCGGATCATACAGATAATAGAGAAATAGACGACGGGACATTTCTGCATCAGCGTATTGATCGGTGTTATTTCGCGTTATCTCTCTCCAACAGCCGTGTTATCTTTGTCGTGCTATCTATCACTGTCTCTTCCTCTCTCTTTCTCGCTCGCTCACTCTCTCTCTCTCTCTCTCTGACACACACACACACACACACACACAGTTCGGGGTACAATAATAGACGCGTTGCCCGCCATTAACAGCCAAGCGTCCACGCGGCGTAAATTAGAAATAGATAACGGCCGTCAACTACATGATAGCCGAAAGTCGATTGTCCGGCTCCGTTTCCGCGTAGTCAACCCTACGGCCGGCCGGCGAACGCGTTTTCGCTGTTTGGGCGACGCGCCTGCAACGCTGACCGTGCGCGGCCAGCAATAACGGCCGCCTGCGATTATATCATTGGTCGTTGTCCGTGCATACACGGCAAACCGATGTGAAATCGATAATATAATATTTATTGCATTTGTATTGTACGTATATTGACGACTACCGGTGAGCTTCGGCGGAAAACAACGCGTTCGGCGGGAACTGGTGCCCGCGCGCGCGATACGCGATTGTTCCGCCGCCGATCGGACGGAGCGGAGGGGGGAGGGGGAGCGACGGCGGCTGCGTTGTCACCGAGGCGCGAGCTCTATTAACCTTGACATTTAAAAGGTCATATCGCGACTTTTTTAGCCCGAAAATACAACACTGTAGTATTGTTGTTGTCATTATACGCGACTGACTAACTAACTAACTAATACATAACAACGGCTCCTCCGCGCGCATATTAAATGTGTGCATAGCGCCTATGTGGCGACGGCCAATGCGTTCAGCGCGGGTTTATTCGAAACGGTTCTGGGGCCCGCGTCTATTACACGGCACCCTCGTGTGACTAACGACTGATTGTTATTAAAAACGATACGCCGATGACGTCGATCGTCGTAACCCGAACCGCGGGGGAAATGCGAGATCGGCTCGTTTCCGCTGTTGTAAGTAAATCGTTATTGCCCGGCCCCCGGTAAGCTTTGTGTCACCGAAACGCGGCGAGTGGCACGACGTCTTCGCCGTGGATACCGCAAAAGACGCGCGGATTATGATAACGGATGCCACAAACGACAGAAAGCGATATACGGGTAACGTACCGATTGCCCTGCGACTTCTTCGTCTTCTGCCTCTTCCCCTTGAGATCGATCGTGATCGGCATCGGCGACGCGTACCCGTGTTCCGCTTCGGCGAAAAACACCACGGTGTTCACGCGATCGGCCGCGCTGATGACGGTGTTGGCGCGATTGGTGTTGGCCGCCGCGTAAGTGGCGACGGCTGTAGCCGCGGCGGCCGTGTCCGGGGCTGCCGACGGCGGCGGTGGCGGCGGCGGCGGAGTCGAAAACTTGCCTCTTTCGCGCCTTTCCAGGTACTCGGCGGCTTGCAATAAGGCGGCGATGCTCATGATGACGCGGTCCGCGGGCGGCAAGAGCTAAGCGGATCGGCGGCGACGGACGGACGGACGGACGGACGGACGGACGGACGGACGGACGGACGGTATCACAATAACGCACACAAGACGGTCACGCGTGTGTCACACAAACGCGGGCGCGCGCGCGCACACACACACACACACGCTAGAGCGAGCGCGACAATAGCCGGACGAAGTACGATTTTGTTTATTACGTTCAGGATTATTGTTATAATATTTTAGGCGAGCGCGGCGTGTGATGTGCGCACGTAATCGGGTGCGAAAAGAGCTGTCGCGAATTCGCGTAGTAACGCGGCGGCCGATATTGTTTACAGGTAGGTTCGCGTCGCGCGCTACTCGAAAAACACACAATAAACGAGATAAATTACGTTATGTATGGTTTATTTATAGACGAATTTTTTTTTTTGCTCTCCTCGCTGGTGCGTGCGATAGCCGACGACGGACGAGTAAACCGGGCAATGTTATTTACGCCGCTGCCAATAACAGGTAGGTAGGTACGTGCGCGCGCGACTCGGAGCGGACTGAAACCGAAACCGGACGGGAACCCGCGTCTGTTCTTCCGGCGTCCACCGGGAACGAAAACGATAAGCACTGAAACGCGCGGCGTCGGACACACGGGCACGCGAACGCCGACGGAGACGGACGGCTGCGGCGGTCTGGTGCGTACACACTCAAAACGCACACGCACGCCAACACCACTCACTCACAGGTTTTCGCGCGCGTACACACACACACACACACACACACACACTAATAACAATAATAAATACAATTTTTGGCGGAAAAAAAAAAAAAGATTATACGCGAAAAAATATTTTTTTTTGTTTTTTTCCCGTAGAAACCGGCGGGGAAAACGTACGGCGGCGACGTGTACGCGTAAACTACCAAAAATAATCGGAACAATTATTGTTGCGAAGCGCGACGGCGGCGATGGTACGTCGATACCGGCAGTTCGTTCGCGACTGTAACCAACGGGTTATTGACGTGTACCGCGGCGGTATTACAGCCATCGTGCGCGGCGCGAGCTTCCGACCGCGGTCGAACGGGCCCGAGCGCCGCGGGGCCGCGGCGAGCCGGGGGGGATCACGTGAAACGCACGCCGCGTACGCGCCAACAGCTGACGGCCGCCGCGCCGTGCAACGTGTAGGTACCGATGCCGGGGCCCGGCTACGTGCCCGACGCCATCTACACGACGTCCATACCGACTTTCACCGTTATCGCCGTCACGGCACGTCCCGTCCGCACGAACGGTTTTTGGAGGGAACGGAACAACATTATAAATCCGGTCAAGCCCCGTCGAGTCCGGATCGGGAGTGGGGCCCTCCGGCACGTGGCGCGTCGTGTCTGCGTCATTTACCTGTGCATAAGACAATAATACGTGTACGAAAATGATTATGTGCCCGTTCAAAAAGAAGCGCATTGATGGTACCGCGATTATTTATACAATGACGGCCCGTGTTCAAGTTTGGCCCCGCGGACCGCCGGACCGTTTATCCGGTCTGGATTACGGTACGTGTAAACCACCAAAAGTTCACCATAATTGTAGATACGGGGCGAGTGATCTATAGGCCTTACCGTGCGTTCTTTTCCGTTTGCCCGTGATCAACTATCAGAAATCTTGCTCCGATGCGTCAAATGTATAAGGAGATCGTTTTTTTTTTTTTTTTGGTTTTCCAAGTGGTTTCCTTGTCAGAAAAAACTGAAAAAAAAGGTAAAACCGTAAATATTTACGAACTTACGTTATTTGAAAATTGCGAAATGTATTATTTTCAATTTTGTTTTTTTGTTGTGGTTAAAAATATTTATAGAGACATGCAATTTTGACAAAACAAAGACTTTGGAGAATTGAAGACAGAACGCGTATATTTGCCTTTTGTAGACGTGGTAAAATTGTCAAAACATTTAAGCCATTTTTGAGCTATTAATAGACATTTTTATTTTACGATATTCTTATTTGGTAAGTACTATGTAAATAAAATTGTTAGACCGAACCGAAACACTTAAAAATTCAATAGTAAGTTCATTAAGTTCATAAGTTGTACTTAGTAGTCAAAAAGAAAAATTTGAGTTTAATTTAGTGTTTTAAACTCTGGGTGATGCCCAGAATATATTGGTTTTACAATGATGTTTATTTATTTTTCACCTGTGAACAACTTTTCTATCAGAAAGTTTACTCCGATTTACAACGATATATTACTTTTTCTGAAAGGAAATCTGACTGGGGCGATACTTTAAGGAGGTCAACTTTTGATTTTCCCAGAAGTTTTCCCAACTAATGGGAAAAACAGGTAAAACACGCAGGAAAAATGCGAAAACAGATACCGTATTAAACAAGTATTATTAAACAAAATATACAATGCCTATGTAATTATTTTACCATAATGCGACATGAATATATTAACCGAACTCTGCTCAGAATCGTTTTTCGTTAGCAGTGATTAATTGTTGCGTACTTATATATATTAAATTTCCTCTCTATCTTCCCAATTTCTCATCTACAACACACCCACCCACACACGTGCGAAATAAATCAGTCTTTTTTTTATAAGAATTTTAACATCAAATTTTGACGAAAATAGTAAATATTATGTCCTTTTAAAAGTTTAAAACATGTATAACCGAACTCCGTTCAGAATCGTTTTTCTCTTTTTCTTTTTTTGTCATCAATTTTAGCGTATCGATACTTCATAATTCAATTGATTTATATTTAGTACTATAAGCATGAACGTGGCTCGGGTAGTTAGAGTAGTCAACGTCAAGGGAAAACTGGAAATATAAAATCCTATACCAAAATCGTTTAATATCAAGGAAATTAAACGTTACGTATAATAGTAGAAAGGATTATTCGAAAGGTAATTTTAAAGAAAAAAAATTATTTTTTTTATTATTTATAAAGGAAAAAAAATCGTTATGTTTATTCAATATTATTTTAGAACAGTCCAAAATAATTCTGAGAGCCCAAATTTGCACCGACCCGAACGGGAATCTGCTTATGTCAGCGTCCCCTAGCCGGATTTGGGTTAGGTTAGGTGACCCCCCACATTTTCACTCGGCTGTGAATTTCAAACCTTTATGACCTATATGAACGTTGTTTTTGTGTAGATCGTGTCATTCGATTGTACAAACTGTTATTATTATTTGTCTGTAATTATTATAATTATATATTCCATTTCAATTATTTTCTGACAATTTTATATTCGGAATAAACAAATTATTTTCTAAACTATTTGTTTTATTCCAATTGATAATTATTTATTAACATTATTATACATATATATATATATATATACGTATATATTATTATTGTTATTATTATAACCCCCATCCAACGTTTCTCTGAATTGTTTAAATAGTATTTTTCATAAAATTTATGAATTTCGCATACGATTAACTCTGGGAACGTTCGAGGTTTAAACGCACGATAATAATATCTCGTAATACCGCTAACGCCTGTGTATAATACTATACACTGTGCAAAATATAAATTGAAAATTAATTAAACCCAATTACGCTGCAGTCGAAAGTCTCGGTGGGGGAGTGGGTGGGTGGGGGTGGGGGGGGGGGGGGGGGGGGGGGGGGTGGTGGTGGTGGTGGCGGCGGTTTTAATTATCATACGATTTTACATTTCATCAACGATAATATTCGAGTTTAATAATGTTTGTACGGGCAAGAGACCGATCGCAGAAATATTACGCGGACGTAATGGGATCGAATCGGTCGGCCGAAATGTCCGATTTCAATTTTATAATGACTATTATTCTTAGACCGGCGCGCGCGGGTATACATTACAATATCATTATGTATTGGTTAGTTATGCATGTTTTATTGCCCCGGGCGAATGCAACGCGAACGCGTCGTGATAGCGATCGGGTATAAGTACGTATTATTTATGCTTTAAGTTATTGGTATCTACCCGGTACCTAAATCAATAACGTACGGTGACCGCAAGTACCGAGACTTGTACCACATATAAATATACATATATATAAATACATTCAAACGAGAACCTATATACAATTGGATACCCGCTAAATTATTCATGTTCGGAAACATATATAATATTATTATAAGGTAATGTAAGATGGAAGAAAAAAAAAAAAAAAACACAAAATAAGTGGACGACGGTTTTCACGAGAAGGACGCAAGTCAACAATTTTCGTTATATGTTCACATAAATATACAATATCGATAACGTAAAATGAGCGTTCAGAGTACAAGAAGAGCTATTAGACGCTTTTGAAATGTACGAAGGACCTAGTCGGGATGGACGCATTGTCATCTGGGATTTTTATAGGAAAGTGTAACAAGGAGTGTGCCGCAGTAAACAGATAACGAAAGTAAACAAAAATTATACTCTATCGGCTAGAATAAGCCGTTGCGGATAATATCAGAGTAATTATGTGCGATACGAGGCAAGGTTATAAAAACGTGCGCGACGATTTTTCCCTGCTGATTACCATACGGGGAACTGTGACGGCCACCGTGTTTTTATCAGTAGTTGAAAATGACGTCACTGGTGGTTCCGTTGGATCGACGTTTGTTGGATTTCAGCGATAGAACATAATCTATTTTTCGTGTTTGATAATTTGGTATGTTTTTGTATTCGACTGTTGATATATAAACGTCCAACTTTCACTATGTGATAACTGCACTGAATACAGATGAGTTATCAGTAATAACCATCTAAAATTTCAGCCTGGCAACATGAAACATGTGACGCTAACATCGCAAGCCAGCCATCGCACAACCAATGTTGCGGTTCACTTGCGACCAAGCAGGAAATCAAACAAGTTAATCTAGTGGAAAAACAATCGTCGTGTGAGCTTAATCTAATGAAATTATGCAAACATTCGGCGCTGTTGGTAAAGCAGAAAAATACTAAATATATGTATACGATTAGAAACGTACGAGATAATGAAGATGAATCAGACTTTGATATTATCTGAATATCCTTACAACGGGTACTGGAATTTCAATAAATCGGGTAAATATTAATAACAGGATCTACATACATAGGTAACAAATTTAGGCGCCGTATTTAAGCTGGAAATGATTGTTACTTTTGTCACGTTTGTTTAAGTCAAATAAAACGTGTATCTCAGATCAGTGGCGTTGTAACCTGGACTATAACAGCAAGATATGAGAATATATTTAATTTTTTTTTAAGTAAAAAATGTTCTGGAAAATTAATGGTCTTAAATATAACTCCGAAACTCTAGTTTGGGAGTGAAGGACAAACAAACGGCTCAAGAAATTGTACAAGAAAGCAGGTATATAGTTCCATTTGTAAGAGGTACAAGATTGGGGTGCGCGGGTCACGGTTGAAGAGCCGAAAATAGTATAGCCAAAACAGTACACGTCAACAACATAAATAAGAAATTGCTAAGAGGTCGATTGAAGCAACAGAGATTAAATATAGTAAAAGTGGGTAAAATGAATTTAGAACCTGCAGAGTGGAATGGGTACCTAAATCATTCGTACGTCAGGGAAGAGTTGAAGAATACGTTATTTACCAATATTGATGGTTACCAAACCTAAACTAAACGCAAAGGGACTATATGGTTTGTAATATAATAAAAATAATATATTAATTTTGTGTGTAATTTTAAGCTCGTTTAAATGGTCACACTAGTTTATACGTTTATGCTTTGTTAACGCAGTAGATAAAATATCGATATACGGGGTAGTACCTTCCTAGTTGTCAGAAAAACGATAGGAAATTTGTAACCTCAGCGGTCTA